TTGATTTGCTCAATCAAGAAATACCTGAAATTCAAAGAAATGCATGTGGAGCTCTTAGAAACTTGTCTTTTGGGCGACAGAACGAAGAAAATAAGGTTAGTTATCTCTAAATATTAATTCTTTGTAACATATTCTATTTTCAGTTTTTTAATGTTATATTTTGAACAGAGAGCAATACGTAATGCTGGAGGCATTCCTACACTTGTCCAACTTCTCAGGAAAACACCTGATAATGAAATAAGAGAGTTAGTAACTGGAATTTTATGGAATTTATCATCATCAGAGGTATAATTAAACTAGTAGAACAAATTCAGCATTAATTTAAATGATAGTTGATTTAAACTTACAATGATTAAAATATTTCAAGGAACTCAAAAAGCCCATAATTGATGATGCTCTCACGGTATTAGTTAATCACGTCATAATTCCTCATTCTGGGTGGGATCGTAACAGAGATCCTTCAGATCAAATCAAAACACAAGAAATTTATTGGTCAACTGTATTTAGAAATGCTAGTGGAGTTTTGAGGTATGTTTGCTTCATTAGTTAGTTAATGAGTAAACACTAGCAATAAATTTAATTCTGATAACATTGACATCAGATTATTTTTCGTTAATAATGTAATATTTACACACAGTATTAGAATATTTAAAAAATTATTTTATTTAAAGCTTCTGTTGTTTGGATATAATAATAAAATTTAATATTTTCTACAAAGTTTGTCAGCAAAAACAATTTTTTACTCAGTTTAACTTATACTTTATGGTTACTTTATGTATGAGTAGGTAATAATGAATACCTGTTTGTCATAAATAATCTTTAGTTTTCATTTCTTGTACATTGATTAAAAATTGTTGTCAAGCATTTGAATATAATTCTTGAAAAAATAACAAATTCAAATTTTACTTTTGAAAAAGAAGTTTAGGAAAAAAACTATTTGACTGACAGTTTGACACATTTAATCAAATCATAATGCTTTTCAGATGGAACCTAATTCAGAAAATTATATACTTGTCAGTTTTGCAAGTTAAATTACTATAATACTGATGTCTGTTTTTTAATTATTTAATTCTTTCTTAGTTTTATTTAAAGAGAAGCTTTAATGATCAAAATAATATATTTAATTCAATTTCTCTGTTCTGGTTTAAATTTGATTGATTCAAAAAATCTTTTTTTTTTCTTTAAGGAATGTAAGTTCTGCTGGTGAATATGCACGTAAAAAATTAAGAGAATGTGAAGGTCTTGTAGATTCTTTACTTCATATTGTTCGTGCTGCTATAGGCAAAAATGATATGGATAATAAAAGTGTAGAAAATTGTGTTTGTATACTAAGAAATTTATCATACCGATGTCAAGAAGTAGAAGATCCAGATTATGACAAACACATTATATCACCTCCACAAACTCGTGCAATGGTGCCAATTAATAAAGGTACTAAATCTTCAAAATATTGTTTATTTCTTAAAAAAAAAAACTA